ATAGATTTTTCAACCGTCCATTTCGTCAATTATCGATTCAACCATCCCTTTGCATCAATTGAGTTATTTATTTAAGTATTTAGGATCAGGATAACAATTTGTATTGAAATCTACAGACTCTCCATGTCCATATCACGAAGTTTCAATTACGTAACATCCTGTCTGTAATATTACAAGTGCTACGTATTCTCTATTAGAACAGATATTCAAGAGCTAACTAAATAAATTAGTGACTCAAGTCAAGTTTTAAATTAACAATCAACATATCGAAAAGCTGTGTATAGTATGACGATGTGTATTTCTGTGTGATAATTCTGTTGATTGTGCAATGTGACACATTGACAAATAGCGACAACTGAACAATGCTCGACATGGGCTATATACATATTGTATTTAATATTCATTTTAATTGATTGTTATGTACGAATATTATTCTTGTTTTAATCATATATCCTGTGAAATAAATGTGAGTTATTTTCAGCATGATAATATTTTATTCCGGAATGTGATACTATTAAAGCAACAGTAGCTGTATTTAAATATAATGACATAAAAATGACCAAAGATCTCGTTTAGATAAGATAAAATTGCTTGGGCTAAGTTACCCCACAAAGGTTAATGTCACATAAACCGTAGAAAATTATAACGCACGATGCACACTATGATGGGAAATGACAAATCAACAGTGAGAAACCATCTGAGAGAGGCCCCTCAAGATGACGACTTATTAAAAGATAGGAGAGGAACATGTGATGGAACGCATTTCAATGTTACTCTTTGCTGGTTTCCCTAACAGTACCTAGAATGAAATGTAATAAAGGTTTCACATATGTTGTGCATGCAGAATCACCATTAAACCCAGGTAGTTTATATATGCAAATTTAGGCAGCAATCACTCAAGTGTCCGTTTGACATGGGAACATTTTTCTAATCATATTTCAGTGATAACCCGAGATAGGTTCAATGATTGAGATTTCTCTGATTGTTGTAACTTACAACTGATTATTTAATTTGTTTCAAAATATTCTCGATTGCCAGTAGGCTATCGCAGCAGTGCTTAGTTACTTCTCAGCAATGCCTAATAATCTTAAAAGTACAATATATTGCTGATTACTGACAGGCTTAATCTACAGTACCGACATATTCAGACTTAAAATATAGTAAACTGTAGACAAAAGTCTGCCGGTAATTGTGATTATGTTTTTTTACTCATTGTTTTTACAAGCCACTATTCAGTTCAGTCGTAAACGTGTGCATTCTAATTGTCTGGTTCCTAGGCGTTGAAACAGTCAGGAAAGACCATACATAGATAAATTTAAATTGATGAAGAATCTTTCACCCAGTAAATCATAGTGCTGAGAGACATTTTCCACTGCAACTCCTCACCGTAGAAAACTTCATATAGGGGATCTGAGTAAACAATCTTTTTGACAATGAACCAATGCTGATTTTTTGGTTCCTAAATATATAAATTAACAATTAAAGTCGGAGATTACAACTTAATGTAAAAGATGCAATGCGATTGTCATGTTTATCAATGCTATATTGAGCAACAATAGTGAAACATGGACACACTTTTTACCAACAATTCCTACATTTATTGCCTATACACGCATGATTGTCCAAGTTACAATCTGCATAAAACAGGAGCTTTGATTAGAAGGTAAGTAGTTGAAATAATCAAGATAACATTTCTTTGTGTGTCAGTATAGCAATACATCGTTACAAATACATTATTGAATTAATTGAATACTCAATATATATTACAGACCTATTCTTAGACTTAATCTCAGTCGTTAAACATATTCATATGACTGTATATAAATGTTGCAATGGCGTGATTTGGGGAGAACTACAGAAATAATTATGCTTATGAATTATAAATTATATGCCATGTAGAGTATTTCGTGATGAACGAAATTACAGGCACATATAATCATGAAATACTAGATTCGGACCCGCAACTCGGCAACTGTAATCTGAGGCACTCTCTATTTAGCTAAATAAGAAATGGCGGCCTTGTATGTGCGCCCTAGGTAAGTGAATGGATAATTGCACCAAGACTGTTTGAGAGAAAAAAAGATTAAAACAATTGGTATACTTTCTCACTTTTGGTAGAATATGTGTATATTTTCTACAAAATTGTGTAATACGGTCATTACATGCAAAATAATTACGAAAAACTATTGAAAACTTCGTAATATACTGTAATGTGGGTTCCTATGGCGTTAAAAAACCCATATGTACGCCTAACACACGTGCAATTGTCAAAAAGAAAGAAATACAGTGTTACTGTGACTACTTGCCATTTTAAATCCTCGACGTCACAAACGACTGGTAGAATATAATTTTGCACACAAACGAAGCCAAGTTTAACAATGTTTAGACCGACCCACCCCGTTACGAACTTCCTCGGGAACAAACCTGTCCATCATATTTATATTGAATATATTACGTAACCATATTTCAGTCAACTGTTGTGACAAGCCTCGTGGTACATTCAACAAGTTTCAGAAGTAAATACCTTCTCAACAGTGAATAGTTTTGTCTTAATAATGCTTGGTGACGTCACGAAAGTCTCAGCAATGCTAGATATCATTTCAACGGTGCTTAGCAACGTCTCGGCAGTGCATAGAAAAAAATCAACAATGCTGGATAACGTCTGAACAGCGTTGAGTAACGCCTCAACAGTGCTTAGTAAAGTCTGAACTATGCCTAAACATCTGAACAGTGCTCAATAACATATTAATAGTGCAGTGTTTCGTAACGTCTCATCATTGTTTAGTAACATTTCAGCAATGCTTAGCAACGTCCTAAAATAACAGTTCAGGGGTGTTTAGTAACGTCATGATCGTGCTTAGCAACGTATCCCCAGTGCTAATAACGTCCCAATAGTGTTTAGTAATGTCTCAACAGTGTTAAATAACGTTTAAAAAGTATTTAGTTATTTCTTAACATTGCGTAGTTATGTCTCAATACTGTTTGGCAATATCTTAACGGTCTATAGTAACGTCTAAATAGTGCTTCGCAACGTCTCATTAGCGTTATATTTAAATTCCGCTCCAACTCAAGGTTAAATAAGCGATATTTGTCACTTTCGAAATTGTTTACAAACCATATTTACACCGTGGCTATTGCTGTTTCATGACAAGGCCCTTACCATTTGTTTCGAGATTTGTTCTGTCCAAATATTCGCGGGAATACACGACCTAATTTCATAATTAATACAAGTGTTTTTTTTAGTAGTTTGAAGATAGTTAATATGTACGAACGGTTTGAATAACTCCAGTTTTTATTTTAATTTGCATTTTAATATGAGTTGCTCTCTATACACGATGTGTATACTCCTAGGCTACTTGGTGTATTTGGTGTTTGATTATAATTTAGTTACTCCAATTTATGCAAAATCATGCATCTGTTCATCATAATGAATGGTTTGAACAAAATATAATTATGTATAATCAATATAGACAATTACTGTGACATAAAATATGTCATTTATTGGCGTGTTATGAAGATAATTATTACACTTGAATATATATATATATATACAATAAATCATGGGACACCATTGTTTTGTTCTTTACACTATTAATGTTGTTTTTAATTTTAATCAAGTGAGTACATTGGTTAATATAAAATTGAACAAACTAAGAAGAACAAACTAAATATATTACAATGTATGTCTAAATATCCGATAAGCATATTTAGATCATCATCCATCAGAACAGCAACTAACGTCACAACTGAAGTTTATTGATTTTGTTTTCAAGCTGAAGATCGCATTGTATCATCAATATGTAATTCTTATACAGATAAGATATTGACTATATATGACGTCAAGTACATTTCATACGAAAAAAACAAAACACTGATCGATCTTTTTTACGACCTGACAATGTAGCCCATGTGAACGACGAATATTAGTCAATGTACACAGAACAATTGACATACAAAAAAACAAAACATTGATGCTTTCAATGAGTTATTATGCGACCGTAGTTTCAATGAGCGGGCAATGTTTTGCCAGTAATGACTTTCATAATATCCGACAGTTGTCAAGAGGTGCGCCCTTAGATGGTACACTCACGAGTGACAGTCGACAATTTCTGAGGTACGTACTGTAAATGTTTGTATTGAAATACAGAGTGTTATTGGACCAAGTATGTGTGTATTTGACGGCACAAGGCTTTAATGATGGACTGTTATAGGCTTTTATAAGAGCATTTTAATATTTGTTGATAATAATTAAATTCGAATCCGGGATACAAGGCCACAATACTATGGTTGGAGACGGTAAAAGACTAACAACATGTTATTTTCTAACCATTATCATGGTTATAAAACTTATTTATCTTTTTTTGGGGGGGAGGGGTGCTCACATTAGGATACATACATATCGTATACAGAGATATACAGGCAATATTTCATGAATTGCCATACAATACTATATGTATTAAACGAATGCAGTAAATACTTGGAACAAATGATAGTTAAAACACGAGTTAAATAATTCTGATATTATAGTGTTATTAATTTGATGTGTGGCTTATCCGTTACGCAGAAGTCGTAATTTGTGAGTGTGTATGCAATATATTCCCTTTCTTTCCTTCCTTCCTTTCCTTCCAAAACGATATTGTATCTTTCAAGTATGTATTGCCACTTTCTGTAGTACGTGGTGGCCGTCGCGCTATGAGAATTATAGCGATCTACATAACGCTTGTAAAACGCAATGTTTATTTACATGAATTTCGAATACGCGCTGCGCGACGACCACCGACCTTTAGTGAGCATTTCCTACAAATTGGCACAGGGTACAGTCCCAACTTTCTTTGCAATAATAACAATCCAAATTTCTGTATGCTAGTTAAAATGTGATTTGCTCATTTCATATTTCTTCGCCGAGACGAAATGTGATATTTTGTAGAATTACGATCAGGATAGAGGTCTTGGTGAGCACTACTTTTGCAGTCTTGAATTGTTTTCAACACCCACGAATACTAGGTGATTGTTTCCCAGTTGTTGTCAAATTATATCATGCAAAATGTACTTACTATTTTGCGAGAGTGTTGTATGCTTGCTATATTGCTCTTTCCCAGTGTTTGCCCTTGCTCTATTGACAGCTTGAAACTCTCGTCTAGCTTATTGTTGGTCTCTGTGAGGGGCAGCGTCACGCAAATGTTGATGTCTTGCCAAATCTTCATGATTGTGATGGCATATTTAAGTATTATTAGCTATTGTGACTGTTTATTGTTTAAACTTTGTATTTCAGATGATCAGATTCAGATTGCAGTTCTTCTTGTGGTTGGGTTTATTGGTAGAATGTATAGTCAAAGGTAAGTTATAATGCAGCACAGCGCCAGCTATAATTATTTATTAATTAAAAAATATTCATCAAAGCGCAAACGATTTGCGCAATGTTCAAATTACGTTTGTCCTAATGGCACTACACCCAGCTGTCAATATTATGATACCTTTAGTTCATCTTGAATAATTTATTTCATGCTCAAAAAAACTAAAACACCATTTCCCACAAACTTCTACCAGCACTGTTACTAGTGTGTCAGTAAATGGTGACAACTTTCCTAACTATGGTAACTACCGACCTATTGTGCAAACCATAGCGTTTCACCAGGTTAGTGTTGATTTGGCAATACAAAAGTCACATATGATATGCTTTAAACTTTAGTGAATACAAATCTGGTGGGTTATTTCAACGTGGTTCTCTAGCCAATAAATATTAAAAAGCCTTCCTTGAATAAAGCAACCAAGTCATCAAATGTCGCATAGCACTTAGAGGTCTTTCATTCAGAAAGTTTAAAAGTTAACTTACTTTTATTATGCCATTGTGTATAGTTTTGTTATCATCTCCGTGACTTGATATATCTTTAATTCGAAGAGACTGTTTCTAATACGTATGTATGAATCGAATACGTATACCTATTTACTTCAGTATTACTGCGGGGGACATTATTCATATCCGTTAAGAGATTCCAAAATGTGAAGAATTTAAAATGTCAATTCACAAATAATGCAACTTTTGGGCGAGTGTGGATTCAGATCATCGCATGAACAAGTATATAACAGAAGCATATACACATGCAAGGGAAACGAACGTGTGCACTTATGTAAAAACAAAAAGAGTATAAATCATAATATAAACTCAGCATCCCAAATTAAGAAAATCCAGTGGTGTTTGTGTGTATGTGCAATGCCAGGTTACCGGGTGTTCTTCGGTCAAATGGAAAATCATCCACGTGTAACAACATGATACACTTTAAATAGTAACAAGCCCCTGCTAATATAATATGCACACTGAGTGTTGTCCCAGTCCATCAATCTACGGTATCCATATACGTGCCTGGGTGAATGTTTCAAGCTGTTCTCCATGTAACAGAATTTATGGGGATTTTCTCAAATAAGATGTTTTATGAGCTGTAATAGTTACTTACAGACTTACAGTAAATCGCTATAGAGATCAGTAGTTCGTGTGCTGGTACATTGTGGAAAAATGATTTACTTGGTCGAACATACTGACATTTGCAGTTTTGATTCAGGGGAAAGAATCTGATGCAGGTGTAAACTCTGCTTCGTAATAGCAGTTCTATCAATTCCACGGTGAAACCTCAATCGTGTATTACAATGTGTGTTTATCTTTCTTTTTAGGTACACCAACATACGTGGTTGTGGAGATGTCAATGGACTGGCATGACGCGAAGACTGAATGTGAATCACGGTCTGGGAAACTTGCTGAGATACATTCACAGGCAGAGCAGAATGAAATTGAACCCCTATTGCCTTCTGGATCATGTAAGCTCAAACACAATTCACCCATACAACTGTACTTGTAATACAATATAAACATCAATAAAAATATAAACAAAACTAATGTAAGAATAGAGTAAGAAAGTACCACTTTCTCGCTGAAGGTGAAACATGGTGATCATTCTCACTGACATTAGTAACACTTTTTCCTTTATTTATTCAACAACAAAAAACTCACAGAAAACAGAAAATTAGAAGAACTGAAAACTAAAAAACCTCGTCGACAATTGAGATTCTCACAACAATGTCTTAATCGTAAACAAAGTACAATGACTCACTATTCACTAAGAGCGTACCACATGCTCCACATGACAGAAAATATATATATACTCCGATAATGTATTACTTTTTATCTATTGTTAACTTCATATAAATGTTTTCATACTCATTTTATGCGTTTTTCATCTGTATGAATTAAGATATTTAAAGTTATATATTTGTAAAATAGACTGGATTGGTGTTAACGACATGAATGATGAAGACCGATTTGAGTATGCTACTGGTGGACGGATAACATACAATAATTGGGATGACGGACAGCCAAATAATTTTTTAAATCAAGATTGTGTAGTATTACAGTAAGTCAATTAAATTCAGTACATTATGTATTAGTGATACTGGGACACAATGCTGATTTCGTACTTTGATTTTCACATACACACCCTCATCTCGCACATACATCCCAGACACCAAACCAACCCAACCCCCACACACACAGATGCAATGTCTGACTGAATAAATAATGTATTCACTGACTGCCAGTTTGTCTGTATGTGACCTCTGAAAGACGTCAAAATATGATTGCCAGATGACTCACCTACCGACCTACATGTCTGCCTAATCAACCACCTACATACTTTTTCCATTTTCTATTTATAGGGGAGAATCTGGTTCTTGGAATGATGACTGGTGCAATGTTGATAGTTCTGGCGCTGTGTGTGACATTACAAGTTAGTTTGAAAATTAGTATTACTATTATTACCAGTTCTAGGGGGTGTTTAAAATAGTATTGTATTACAGCAATCTGATGAAATAATGAATTCAATCAAATGATTGTTTAGTGTGACGTTTGCCCAACAAATATATTTATACGAAATATATAAATACATTTGCTTCATTTTGTAAATAAATATTTCGTATAAATGTAGTCTCGTATGTGATAAAAGGAAAGCTGGACAAATGCATTGTCTACTTTTTTAATAATCATGTAAAATTACACCAAATGAATGACTTGCCTAACCGCATAACTGAAATTCACTTAGAAATGTATAACAGTGTGACAAAATTACGTAATCGTCAATTTCATATCGATGGCGAAAAACACGTATAGTTTTACCGACATAAAACAGACGACCATGTGCATAAGTATTTCACAATTAAACACGTATGAAATGATAATGCCAATATATTACACGGTGTATGTCGGAGAAAGACAGTTTTGTTGGCCTGAAACCTAATCCTGATATCGTTAACTTCAAACGAAATGACAAATTGTTCTTTACTATATTCAGTCGCGAATTTCGTTGTCGTTTCGTAATTGAAAATCGACGCTGACAAAGCTAAGTATGTATGTTTTAATTAACATATCTTCTCACATACAAAGGTATTTCATGTTAAGCATTGATGCTCCATTATTCTTTTAAATCATATTTCAGTCGCATGTGTCAATTTTAAAGATGCAGTAAATTTGATACATTATTTAGAGTGAGGAAAATTAAAAACAAACAAACAATGTATTGCTATTGACATAACAGAGGGTGAAATGTATTGACCATTGATACTACTGACCATAGCAAATAATGGCAGCAATAATGTTACACGCACTAAATTAACTTGTTGGATATATATTTTGGCATGCTAGTGGAACAGACAAATACCCAATATTAAATAAATACACAAAGCGGTAACCCATGAAAATTACGGCGTTACAATGTTTATTAACTAGCGAAAGTTATACTTTAAAGTGAATACCATTAGATACAATACATAACAAAGATGCATATCGTTCAAACCACCCAACATGAAAATTACTATGCAAACACAGTAACGCCTGTTTTCAGACACTTATTTCTGAGTGGTAACACAAAACAAGTTGGACGTATTCATTTACTACAGTGATTCATCTAGACTTGAGGAAACTCTTTTATAGAACCAGATGTTTCAATTCTTTGAACTTTAATTCACTTAAACATTATGTTGATTAATGTATTTAATCATTTTTGTTTGATTACACCACTCATATAATTTACGCCCTCAATGTCGGAGTATTTGCGTGACGTCACAATATGTTCGAGGCCCATGGCGTTTGATTATGTAGTTCTTTGACATTTAGAATATAGTAAAATCTCTCAAAAACATAATTTTTATTGATAGACGACTGCAGATCAAAACGATATCAACATGAAAGGGTAAATTATCATATTATTTTCCAATTGCCCCCGTAGCTATCACGATGTCAACATCTCCACCGGTCATAACTACGGGAGGTAGGATATCATTATGGTTCTGTTATTTCTATATTTCAAGAATAGATGTATGTGGTTTCATTGTGCGTGCGTATGTTGATGCTTGTTGAAATAGCAACAAACATCGCTGGCCCAATACAATACCAGTCAACTGCGTGACAAAATGGCCGCATATGTTTAGTACTAGTAGGGTTGCTCTTTGTTTTATCTACTTTATATGAGTTGTTTCTTCACAAAATGTTGGCAGTCTTTCGTTTTACTACTCAATAAATATGTGTATCCTCTGTAACAGGGGTTTGAGTCCCCTGGATATATTTAGGATGAAGGTCAAATTCGGGATTGCAAGCAGCCATATTGTGGTAATCTAAACATATTGCGGTCAACTAAATCGAAATGTGGACATCCAAAACAAACATACTTGAAAAGAGGTAAATCACATTGCATATTGAGGGAGACACATAACAGATACCTAACAATCTTTGTAGAGAGCTCGACCTATCGCGTTGTTGTTTTGTGTTATGTCTACCTGCGTTTCGTTGCAAACGTTTGCTTTTCCCGCGCGCTATCACGCGGCAAATCATCATGATGGCGGATACCATTGCGCACATTTGTCTGCGCTCGGAAGAAGAATGTCATAAGATGATCTAACATAACAGTATGTATATATTTCCTATTTTACTTTCCGTATTATTTTAGTAAACTATTTTCATTTTTGAACAAAATATGAATACATAATCGTGCAGATACAAAACTAGACCTCCAATCCATGACAATTTTCATGTACAATAAAATATTGGATATTTCTCAGAATACTGCGGTGTCATCGAAAATATTGTAAATATTTGAGAGAATAGTCATATAATGCGTCATCGGCTAGCAATGTACCATCCCAGGCACCAGGTTGTGAAACAAAATAATTGTATGTACTTCTATATGGCCGTATCGCCCTATAAATACAACTGGGAATCACAATATTCCGTTTTAGGGGTGTGATTTTAAAAGTGGTGGAAATAAACAATCAAACCATTAGACGGATAGAAAAGTGAAAAGTGAATAAAATGATTTGGATGTGGTGCATAGATGCAGATTTTTGAGAAAATGCGATTGGACTAAAATAAATATATTCGTAGTGAGAATATTCCTCTGAAACTAATAATTTGTTCAAAACTTTCCGCGAGCAATTGTATGTGCACGGAGAGATAGACTGCATTAGATACAACAATACTGTAGGGTAACATTTTGAGCACGTTCATTTATATCAAAGAAGAACATGTTATTGCTTTTTTAGTTCACAATTATTGTTTCCACAGTTTCTCGAAAATTTTTAATTTCAGTAAACAAACTTCTTCCTGTGCACAAAAATCAAGGATTTAACTAGAGAAAAAAAAAACATTTCTTCATGTGATTAACATTATTTTTTACAAAAACTATATATGTCTGTCTTTTTTGAAACGTTATGCACAAACTTACCTTAATAATATGTATATCTTCATTGGGATATTTGTTTAATGTATACGATGATTACTATGCAAAGTGCTTGAACGCGAAACGCAACATTTGATAAATCACTTGCCAAATACAAAGTGGTGTAACATAACTCATTTGCGATTTTAAGAAAAACATTTAATTATAAAACACTTAGGGTGATGTTAAAGTAGGACAAACATGTGTCAAATTTTAAAACGCTTGGATTTACAGTTAGTACACTTATGGTTGAGTCGAAATTAATAACAAGTGAAAACAAAAATTTGGAGTCAGTGCTGAGCTTTCACATCGCATCCCATTTTGACTTATTTCTTAATTGAGGAATTTAAGATTATACATCAAAACGCGTGATGATTATCTGAAATAGAATTGGTTATAATTATCATGGCTAATTGTTTGCCAGACTAATTTACAAGTTCACAACTAAAGGTTTGGTGTTATAATCTTCAACTTCTTGTATAAATCTAAATGGTAATCTGTCACCACGGTTCTTTGTAAAGCATGTAGTGTTAGCCAAGGTAATGTGTGATCCCAAATGCTTGCCCCGTTCTATATTTCCTGTAGAAATTAAGGTCTCGGAATTCCAGTGGGTGATCCGAATATTAGTATTCTATTGTACACAGATGGCAAAGTTGTAAAAATGTGGAAAATTTACTGATTATATTTATGATCGGTGTAAAACATGGTGTACGGTAATAAATTAAAACAAAAGTAGTTTACAGGGCCGAATTAAAACCTAGTTCAGATTTTGTATTTATGCTTGGAGAGTCATCAAATATTTGTGTATGATTGTTGGTGAAATTCTGGGACTACTGCTCGCACATTTAATGATGCAGATTGCATACAATACAAGTTGAAATCTAGTTAAACACTTTTATATATGATAACAAACACTTTTTAAAGTATGTCCCCAATTGAGAAACACTGACAAAGGTGTTTTCTGTTATACAGTTTTCATAAATGCAGATAAACACGTGTTTAAACCATTTGTCATTTTATATCAAATTAATTGTAAAACGCCCTATTGGTGAAAAGGACATCATCAATACACCTGATTACGAACTGAAAGGACGAGGCTTCTCTGTGGCTTCTTTTGTAATACTTTTGTAATTGATTGAGCTTCATACAAATAACCAAATGAGTAGGCCAACAAAAGAGCGCAATTTGGTCCATTGGAATGGCAAAAGTCTTTTTAAAAAAATCGAAAAATAAAAGCGTGTCATCGATTCTGAACATACATAAACAGGGTCATAAACAAAATCAATATTGCAAGGTCGATGGCATCAATCAAACCTCAATTAACTCTAAACAGGTGATGATATCTCTTTTATATATGCACACACTTCACCTACAATTGAGCTTTTCTAAAATGTCAGCTGCCATCAATCTTTCTCCAAAAGTGAACTCGTCATCTAGACCCTCCCATATTAACGACCCGTGTTTTTTTCTTTGTAACATAAAATAAACAATGTACCTACTAACGGCCAGTATTTGACATATGACGTCAGAATATTTACCGACTTGCCTATTGTGTTCTCCTGCACTTCTCGGAAGTACGCAAAGTGCGCACAACAGCGCGATGAGAGAAGCAGTCTGCTCCGGCGACTGCTGACAATTCTGTGAAAACCATGGCATTCGTAAGTACGCATTTGAATGTATATACCGTATAATCTTATCACTTAGCAGTTTGTCCAACTATGAGTTTATAAGCTTATATGATTCGCTGTTTGTACACATTTCTGTGACGAAAAGTTTTACTTTTGCTAATTGTTATGACATTTTCTGAATAGAAACTATGTTGTTACCTTGTGATCATGAATAAAGAGAGAACAACGGCAATGGATTTATCAAAATTAAAATGATGATATAGATAATGATCGATTTTCGATAAGTAACATGATGTGATTATTTGTTATGTTTGATTACAGACCCTTATTTCTAACTTAGATGTTATTGTGATGTTTGGCATACTTGCTGTTCCGTCTCTGTGCACTTTATGTAAGTGGAAATTTATTTTACAGAACATGTCAATAATATTATATGTTGTACATTTATCGTTACAATTGCTTTACATTTGCTTTTTACGTCAACAATTTGTCAGAAAGTTTGACGCAATACATTCTCTGGTGTTACTGTTGTTAGAAACGTGTATCAGGGTGTAGTCAACACAACCTGTCAATTAGGTCATAATTTGTTCAACGTAATCACAAATGACCAACTTTTGGTTTTAGAGAGTTATTCTCTGTCTTTATTAAATATGAAATGTCGATTGTAGAACAAGAAAATGGCTCAGACAAAAATCGACATGGCGTAAGCTGTGAAAAAAGTGTGTTTTTGAGGTAGCATTCTTTACGATTATTTTACGTTTTGGCATCGTGTACGGTTTAGTCGTAATTTTCAAATCCTAATTTCAAAGGTCTGAAATAAGAGAAAAACATATTAAAAGTAAAATGTTCTCTAAAAAAAAACATTTCAAGTGTGCCGTTTTTAAATATTCATCTCTCGTAACATTGTGATACAAACAGTGATAAGAATTGAATAGATTCTTCCAGTGAAGAAATGCATTTACATATACATTACTTTAGTATATGATTGTTGTTCCATCCAGAAGCATGTATTTAAACAGAATAACTAACAGCAACATCAAATTAAATTAACATAAATTATTTAAAACAAATTGTATTGATAGATGTGGGGGAAAGTTACTGAAATGAAATAGAAACTCTTCAATAATATTAATACATCGAAAATTACTGACAGATAGAATATTGAATTATGCAGTTTCTGTTTCAGTATATTTATAACCTGAATTGGTTCAATTCAACTTTTTCCTGTTTATTAACGCGGTACATTTCCATATGGTCATGTCTGTGTCACAAAAGTTACATTCTTGTTAATGACTATAAGCAAAAATCATTGTAAAATGTTTATCTTCACGCGGCCATAATTTGAATACTTTGACTTAACATAGCAACAGCTAGTGAATATCAGGACTAACAAACAATTTACGGGTTCATGACCTTTTCCGGTGCGGTATATACATTGTATTAGATAGTGATTAGTTGATATAGAATAGAGTACATAATTATATTGCTACTTTTAATCAGTTTCGTTCTTTTAATTTCGTGTTAAACCTTATGTTATACGAACATATCTACATACACGGATTCAAAATTTCCCACTGTATTTCTAATTTCAGCGGTATTTAACGTTGATCTGGGCGTATATGTTAAACACGTCGTGTAAGATAAAATATCATATATATATATATATACATAAAGTAAAGTTTATTCTAAAAACACGTCTTCATGTCAATTTCTAGTTACAAATACTACTAATTTAAAAACGACTAACAAGTCATGTGGGAGGGGGGTATTCCTGTGAAGGCTATATCTTATCAATAATCTATATATTATATACAACGAAAACAATAAAAACTAAACTGAATTCAATAAGATTCTTATTCCATTTACACTCACCTGTGCGCATTCCCACCATGGAGCATATTTAATTGTGGATAGTTTAAATTGGATCTTTTGAATGTAGAAACACAATGCTGGTCGTTGTGTTTGCTGAAAAGGAAAAACATCGTATGGAACCCACAAAGCCTGATTCTTTCGCCACGCAGAAACGTCTTGCATTTGAACCTGAACGCGCCCGTTTTCACAAGGGAGAAACTAAACCATGTCTACTAGAGCTGAAAACATATAACGGAATAGTGCGACCGTTGCATGAACGGTTTGTGTAAAAAAGATAAACTTTATCACATAAAATGTAATAGATTAAAACTGTCAATACCGTCTATAAATATAATGTAAACAAATTGAAGTTATGTATATCTTGTTATTATAATGATATGAAACATTCGGGAGTGATGTCGTTAACATAAAATGCGTAAAGTTTCTAGAACTTCGGATATGCTACATATGGCAACCCTTCCATATTAAAGATGTTTTTTTTTATTTCTATTATTGTTTGTAAAGCATGCAATCAATCTGAGTACAGCATGGAAGATTGGTGGTTGAGTTCAGGTCACGTGACGTCCAGGGATACCGCGTTAACCACGTGCACGGACCGTGGAAGTGGGTGGTATATTGCTACCATACAATCAACCGATGACCAGGATTGGCTAGAATTATGTTTGTTGAGTGGCAATTCTTGGGTCGGGGCCACAGATGAGTCAACAGAAGGTACTTGGATTTGGGAAGATGGTACGCAAGTGGCAGATGGTCTTCGCTGGCACAATGGCTTGCCGGTCTCAAGTAATTTGAAAAACTGTGTGTACATCAAGGGGAACGGCAATTTGGTCGATGACTCCTGTATGGCGAGCAATAGAAAGGCACTGTGCAGGAAAACACGTGAGTTACTTGTAACTTGAAATGCCTATTAAAATTGCAGATCTCGTATCTGTACATATTATCACGTGATACGTGGTATGTGCACAAGTACTTATCTTCTTGAACTTTTATTTGATTTGAATGTTTGGTTGGTCGTAAACAGAGCAATTCACTGACGACTAGTTACGAGGGAAGTTTACGAGATGGCAGATATGACAGCTAGCCTATCAGCGTTTCTGAAAATGTTATGAGAATATTCTAACTATGCAGGCTAGTTTTCGTGTTTCCTCAGTGTGTGCTCTCTGTAGTGAAATCAAGACTTGATAATGCAGAAGTGATTAACACGCTGACGAGCCTAATTAGTAAAACACGGGCAAACATGCGAATTTAGTCAAATCTAGGAAATGATAGTCGCAATTAATTTTAGTTACTTAATAAGTGAGTATGTAAGTAAGTGAATTGTAAACCATATATCAACGTTTGTTCTTTTTTACAACGTGGCAAGCTTCATAGTAAAGGGCGATGCGGGATACGCCCCAATAGTATATTAATTGCATACATAATATGTACAAAAGGTATACTTTTTTGAAATTGTGTACATTATGTGCATACAAAATTCAAACATACAAGAAAACAGCAGTACATTATTTGTAAACACACTTTATACAAATTCATTAATGTATATTTGTTGTATACTAGAAATGTACAGATTTTTTTGCATAGGATTCAATGCCTAAATATTGTATAATTTACATATACATAAAATGTACAATATCATGACTAAGGAATAAAGAGTAACCACACAATTTTATGTTAGAATGATGTCACAATGAAGTATAATTTATGTATACATTAATTGTACAAATTATTGACTTGGCTTCTTGACAATTATTAGTACTATTCATGTAAACATAGAACTTGGACTTAGAATCTGAATAAACTTAACTAAGCTTAATAATATAATATATGTATAATAAACTATACAAAAATATGGAATTTAATATTCAATTACATTCATAAGAGAGTATTAAAAACATTTTTAATAGATTAATTACAGGAATACTAAACTATATTTTTGGATATCAGTTAAATTACATTTTTACTACAGTTTACCGAAAGAATTCAGTCATTATAAGAAGAGTGTATAACACATTTCCCACGAGAGTTGTTTAGAGTTTGCCTAATTTGCATATACTAATAATTATCCTGTTTTGGATCCTAACATGATTTATTGCCAATTTTTAAGAGCTTTTCATTATATATCCAGTTTTGGCATTTTCAGTTGAGGGAAATACAATGAAATAAATCAGTATTACTCTCACCACAATCAGTTTATTGTACATCCTTGGCTGACATATATGTCAAACAGATACAAGATATAGGATGTAAATGAATGTACCATAGTCAGTCAGGTAAGCATAAGCAATTGATAAATTGAATTCTAAATGTAAGTATAGGTACATACAAATACATGCCGTTGTGTAATAAGACCATACACTTGGTCAAATGAAACACACAATAAAGTTGAATTTCATTTTGTAAAATAAATGCCCTTTTTATGAATTGAGCTTTGTACAATTTTTGTATACAAAAGTGTTCCAAATATGGGATACTTCTTGTATACAAAAGTACATTTTTTGTACACTATTTGCATAGTATTTGCATACCTTTTGTATGCAAATCTGTTCCAAATATAGGGTACTTCTTGAATACAAAAAAATATACATAAAATGTACAAATTTATTCAGAATTTTATCTAATGAATTTTGGTAAGGGTGGTCGTCGCGTCGCGACATTTGTGTTCAGATAAGCACTGATTTTCTCACAAACCAATGCGCTCTTCTAGTAAAATCACGAGTACGAGGTTCGACCTTGGCTCCACTTGCGCTAGTTACCGCCGACGACTCGATACCTTCCAAATACCAAATAAATTACCCAATTAAAGCTTGGTAACCTCCCCAGTTTGTACTCGTCGCCATCTTTGTTTATATGAGACCCGTATCGCGCGCATGCGTGGCTCGACGATCTTTTAATTTGAAATGGTAAAACAGGCAGTTTTGGTCGCGGCAAACAGTAAGACAGAATTTGCGACATGAACAAAGGGTATTATGATGGGTGCCGTAATTTTACGGTGTTGCACTGGCCATTCTACCATATTAAAAACAGATATAAAAAGATTACGCGCTTGTCAGTGTTTGTTTATTCACCGCAGATTATACATTAGTGTTGTGCGAGACATCTCACTATAGAATTATACTATACTACACATAGTTATGTTATGGGTAAACTAAATATTAATGTTGGTGCCTAAGCTAGTTTCAAAAGATCATTACAAATACTTGCTGAGGAAAACTGAGAATGAAAACGATTATGGTAGCTAGCTCGGATCTGGGCGCAAGGCTTCTTAGGAAAAATAAATCTAATTCACCCAAGCAACAATATTGGCTCATCCCTTATTCCACAATTCATTACAAACAAAACTTAATCCTTGTTGGTAATAATAATTCTGTTCTATTTTTTCCTGACAGCGTCAAACACTCTTACCACTACACCAGGTAAGCAATATATGAATCGAGAATCTAAAAAGTCTTAATTCATTCTTAATCA